TACGAGATGTTGGTCTATGCTGCTGGGAGATTATACTCACAACTTTGTTCTCAAGAACACCGATCACCAGTGCACCGCTGCTGCTTTCATTGCTGTATGGAAGCTTATTACCTTTAACTATTTTTGTATTTAATATATGTTTTTGAACAAAATTCCTCTTGAGGGCATGAAGTGACAACAACTTTCAACATGTCTCCATTAAGAGCCATTGTAAATTCAGCCTGATCTATCCTCAGAGCAGCAGCTGCTCACCTTTAGTAAAAATGCCAAAACTGCCACATTATTGACCCGAAAGTGCACAAAAGACGATCAGGGTCCTGGACATGCTTGACGCGTTGACATTTTACCGAAAGCAGCTACCGTTTTTAAACTATAGTTACAAATGTAAGAGGTTTATTTCTCATTCAGAACAATGGAAAGGCTGTCCTTTCACAGCACATCTCCATGGAAACCTTTGATCTCTGGGCTCATGTACAGAGGTGTTTGATAACGTCGTAACCATGGTAACCTTTGATCTATAACAGGTGTTTCATAACATAGTCACCTCAAACACAAACAAACAGACTGGAGTTTAAAGACTGTCTCAGCCTATTATTTTCTGTCTGATGGAGACTTCATACTGACTTCAACACGTTCCACATATTTTATACATTATTGGTGACGTTTGGTTTTAGTTCAAAAGTTTGCAGTTAAAATATTCTGATGCTTTTCAAAGCGTTTTTAATATCTAACTCCTTCAGCCTACTTTCAGCTATAAACCATTCAACTATTAACTTATTCAGCTATTTCAGGACATTGAGGTTATACATTTTGTTTATACCTTTTTAAACCTTTTCTTTTAAATATTAAGCTTCTTCACAATTGTTCCTACGCAATGCATTTGAGCTTTAACAATTTTGATTCAAATCATTTCACTTTTCTGCATTTCTCCGCTAAGTTCAGCAACACACTTACTTGGTTTTTGTAGCTTAAAGCAGCTACAGAGACCATTTAGCTAATAACATATTCAGCTTTCTTCTGCATTTTCAGCTAAATTCAGCCACAAATGTTCACAGTTTACACTTACAGCATTCGCACGCATTTTCAGTAGGAAATGCATTTTCTAGTCTACATGTGATCTACATGTATGGAAACCTACACACAGATCCAGTATTAGTTTAACTTTTAATACAGGAAAATAAAATACATTTTTAATAATAGTCACACAACGTTTAACAATTGTGTCTCAGAATTTCGATAAAGCATTTTGCCTCTTGCAGGAAGGGTTTGCCTCTTTCCCTTTGGACAGATGCTCGGCCATATGCAACATATGTAACTGGTTAATGCCAGCAGCTGTTAGTTCTAAACTCATTTGGCAAACATGTTCCACTGAAAAAGCTAATTGAGTGTACAATAAGTTCAATAATGACAGGCAGGACAATCACAGTGACACGCATACATATTTTCCCAACAAACACACCAGTTTGGATGGCTGCATCAGATGGTCAACGGTCTTGGCATATGTTGAAGATAGCTTTCTATAGTTCTGGGTTTTTTGTCTGGCTATGTAGTTGTTTGGCCAATTAATACTTCTAAATTGGTGCATGAAAGGCAGCTCTCTGGACATTCAGTGTGATGGATTTCACTTATAAGCTGCCTTTTCTCCCTTATAATTATTTCATTTGTCTTTACTACATCCACATTTGTATGAGTTGTAAGTTGCACAGTATGCTAGTGTGGCCTAAAAATTATGTTTGACTTTTTGTTAAGCTTTCCACCACTCATGACATTTTGTACAAGCACTGAATTTCCAAGCAAGTTTGAGATTGATTGCACTGCAGCTGATTGCACCCATCTAGAAATTAATGATCATTTGTTACTTTATTTAGTACTTTCTTCTTTTAAAAGAAGCACACAGAAACATATTATATGCAACAGTTTTGTCTCTTGACTTTTTAATCTGAAATACATTTTTAACATATTTAAAGGAGCATTTTCATCTTACTTCCAAATCGTCACAACTTGGGTCCATTCCTTACTACTGGATAATAGTATGGCACTGTATGAGCCTAAAGCCTTGAAATGTAATTGTAGTGACATCAGCAATAAATCCAGATAGGATCGAAAAAAAACAGATTTGATCATAGCCAAGCATTCACAGCTGACAGTGTTGTGTAATTCTTATATGTTAAAGTGTGTTAAACGTTTAATAAAGCAAAGCAACACACACCAGGCCGTCGGTGCGTCTTCTATCCCCAAAGGCTGTTTGAGGTTGTCATAGTTTTGTCAACATTTCCATGTATTAACGCGCAAGAAAAACCCTACAGGTACTGAATAGCTTAGCTTGATTATTCACGCTCGGATATCTGATGAACGGAGGTGATGATTGGCTGTTCCACTAAGCTGCAGGTACCTTTGATCTGTGGCTTTGAGGTCATGGGATGAAATAAATGTATATTGGAACAGAGCTCTGCATGGATCAAACGCTGAGCTGAGGTATACGACTCTCCGCGTGGCATCAACACCAGTTTTGAATTTGCTATTCTTAAGAAGCATTGCCAGATGTGAACCATGCCTCGCACAAAAGAGCTCTCAGAAGACCTACGATTAAGAATTGTTGACTTGCATAAAGCTGGAAAGGGTTACAAAAGTATCTCTAAAAGCCTTGATGTTCATCAGTCCACGGTAAGACAAATTGTCTATAAATGGAGAAAGTTCAGCACTGTTGCTACTCTCCCTAGGAGTGGCCGTCCTGTAAAGATGACTGCAAGAGCACAGCGCAGAATGCTCAATGAGGTGAAGAAGAATCCTAGAGTGTCAGCTAGAGACTTAAAGAAATCTCTGGCACATGCTAACATCTCTGTTGACAAATCTACGATACGTAAAACACTGAACAAGAATGGAGTTCATGGGAGGACACCACGGAGGAAGCCACTGTTGTCCAGAAAAAACATTGCCTCACGTTTGAAGTTTGCAAAAGAGCACCTGGATGTTCCACAGCACTACTGGCAACATATTCTGTGGACAGATGAAACCAAAGTTGAGTTGTTTGGAAGGAACACACAACGCTATGTGTGGAGAATCCAAAGGGTTCACATACTTTTTCTTGCAACTGTAGACGACCTACTCCATCACTATGAAGCATCCAGGAGTCTCAGGTCTTCTGGGTCTGCTCTCTGTTCCGAGAATAACCACTAAACATGGAAAAGCAGCTTTTAGTTATTATGCCCCAACAATTTGGAACAAACTGCCTAAATCGTGCACGTCCGCCGAAACACTTTCTATTTTTAAATCCCGACTAAAAACGCACCTATTTGCCGCAGCTTTTAATTGAGCTGCCCATACTCACACTACAGTATGCCTTTTCAGTCATGTATTCTGTACCTGCTGTGTTTATTTATTTTATTTATTTCATTACCTTTGCTTATTATGCCAGTTTTTAAATGCCTTTTTAATAAAGTATTTGTGCTGTATTTGTTCTTACATGTCGTTTGCTTTTAATCTGTAAAGCACTTTGAATCGCCACGTGCTGAAAAGTGCTATATAAATAAAATTGCGTTGCCTTGCCTTGCCTAAAAAAAATTACTGAACGAGTGGGAGCAGCTTGATATCACTGCATCGTGAGTTCAAGGTTAAATTCACTACATGATGTCATTATTTGTGACTCCTTGCCCTTCTGTTTTGTCTTAGGTCTGTACTTTTTGCAATTCATTTTTATTTGCCTTTGTTGTTATTTTTTCCAATTGAAGGAGTAAAGCTTCACATCTTTGAAAATAAATGTGAAATTAAAATGCACACATTTTATTCTAGCACCATGATAAATCATGGTGCTGCAACGAATATAAAGTGTTACTCTATGATTTTTTTTTAAAAAGTACTTTGTAGCAGAAACTAAACAAATAAATGTGCATAGTGAGTCAGTGATCGGAGTGAAAGGGAAGGGCTGGTGAAAATAAAGTCAAGTCCTTTTTAATGTGATCCGGACATCTGCCTGGTCAAACTGGGAGAAATGACTCTCCCCATGATTGGGCTCCTTATGCAACACAACTGCTGCCACGAACACTCAGTGCTGGAGTGTTTATTATTAGCCGCAGTCACGCTTAATCAGTGCAGCGTTTATGTAGCCACCAAAGGAGATGTGGAGCCTGCCGAGTGTCCACAGAGGATTCTGAGGATCAAATGAAGAGATGGAGACAAAACTGATCAGACAGGAAAGACATTAAGAGACTTTATTTGCAATTTGGCCCGAGAAATATGCACAGACACACTCAGGTCTTGCATAGTAATCTTTAGTGATGGTATGTGCTGTGCCTGAGGCTTCAGGGCGTGTTTCGAGTCATCCAAGATGTTTTCAGAGAAGTGTGTATTCGATAGCTTGTGTTGTTTCATAGTTACACAAGCACATCTGCTGCTCTATGTCTGGTTTTAAACACCTTTTCATTGTTCAAAAACTGATATTGCCATTTCTAGAGGTTTTGACTAAATAATTGATTCGTTGAAACACATCATATATACTCTTATTCTTCGTACTTGAAATATTGTCTGCACTCTTCTGTTTCACTCTTATCTTATCTTTTCTATTCTTAACTTATCTTATCTTAACTTATACAATAAGCAGAAAACATACACTTTATTGATATAGAGATTACATGGAAATCGTTATCATTATAAATATGTTTTCATTGTTGATGTACTGTGTATTTTTCAACAGGTTCAAAATGCAGAAACTTGCATCTTTAAGTCTCATTATTATCGTCTTATTTCCATGTGTGGATACAAAGCCTCCAGAAATGAACCCGTTTTTTAATCAAGTTGCTTGAAAGCTTCATGTAGCTTCATCTTGGATTAATTAATTATCTCTGTTCTGACAAATATAAATAAATCAGTGTGCCACACAAAAATCTGGTAAACCAACAGTTGGCTCTTTATGTGTCTCCTGACCATCAGGGGGCAGCACTAAGACAGGGTATATTTAGCAAGGTGAGGTCACAGGTCAACAACAATGGCAGGATTAACAAAGTGGAGGGAAAGCAGTGAAACCCAACATGTAAACTGACAGGAAAAGTTCAAAAGCAAGCAGATCTTGGCAGAAGGCTTTTGCTCACTTCTTGAGCGCCTGAGGAGAGTTCAGCGTACTGTTTGCTGCAGCCAGAGGCCTTCATGCTGCTGTAGACAGCTCATCAACATGAGTGACAAGCTTCTGTGCAGGAACAACAGCAGCAGAGCAGAAGAGGAGCTGACTAACAAAACAGTCTGTGCCTGGAGGCAAGAAGTGGAGGAGAGGTGAGGAGAGGGGTTAAAGAAAGCTTTTAGTCCTCTTGACAATCAAAGATATTAGGTTGTGGGCAGTGGGGAGCAGAGGAGTGTGGTTATTTTTGCTGTGGGTGTGACCTTGTGTACAGTTGAAGGAGGTTAAATGTAATGTTAGCCATCAATGCTTAACGAAAACAAGCTTTTTTCAATGCAGGACTTTGCTATGATGCAGACTCGTATCAGCTAATATTAGAAGCTCAGGTTCACAAAAACACATAGTGATACACCTACCACAGCTGTGTAAAGTAATAAACTACATTTACATTATTAAGTAGAGTGTTTTAATTGTATGCTACTTCATACTATTACTACACAATATTTTTGGAAGCAAATATTGTACTTTTTACTTCATTAAATGTATCTGACTGCTTACTGTATTTACTTTAACGATTCACATTTACTACTACTTAAAATGACATTTTATTATAGGTTAAGATATCAAGCAGCAGTATACAAAGTAATTACTATTAGCTCCTCCTTTACCAGCTGTGATAAACACATTAATTGCATCAATAATCGTAAACCAGTAGTTTTAATGGAAAAAAAAAATGGTGTAGTAATTATCATTTGTTTTTAAATACAAGGACAAATCATTTCTTTCACTTATTGGCCTGATGTAGGTGTTGTTGTTTTGTTAAATTGTTATCTTTATCAAATTACATGGTTTTTAGCCACGCTAGTGTCCTTAGAGTGACTTTGGTCCACAATTAGTAATTAAATTTCCTTTACTCCCTAACTTTGCTGGCATAGCTTTGTTTATCTAAAATACTTTACACGAGGTGGCTCGCCTCCACTTGGTTTAAGGGAAAACAAATATTTAATAATATACATATGGTATATTGTAGGACAATGTGTACAATGGAAATGACAAGTTTAAGTCTTTTTATATAATATATTTTATTGGACATTTTACTTTTTTATATAAGTACCTTTTTAATTTATCTTTTTATAGCAATTTTTACATTAGCATCTTATTCATTTACGCATTATACAATTCTGTTTTTATTTTTTGAAAAATCAGACCTTAAAAAAAGAAGGGCATAAAGACTGAAGTGATGCTGATGCTAATAAAATACAAGAATGGCAACACCGGACATCATTAGCATCACTTTGTGTCATTGTGTCACCAGTGGGGTACTTTAAAACAGTTGGTTTAGCAAAAAAACACCTCAAACCTGTCTAATTTATCTCACTTTTATTGTGTCACTATGGTTTACCAGATCTTAGAAACCAAAGGCCACACAGCAGAATCCTGCGCCACTAGCCCGTCAAAGTGTCACGAGCAACAAGCTGAACTCCCACATGGATCACAGCGGTGAGTCATTCTGGATATGTTTATTAGTGAGACGCTTTAAATGCTTGTGCTCTGTCACAAGTTAGAAATTAGCATTTCCTATACGCAGTGAGGAGGGTTCAGATTGCAGTGGTGCAGCGTGCAGCTGAGTGTTATTTAATTACCTGCTTTTGGAGAACTGCTGGGAATGCAACTAATTTAGGCCTTGTTTGAAGGATACACAAATGTGCCAAAAGACGTCTCCTATCACACTCCCAGCAGAGGAAGAGGGGAGGGCGGGGGAGGCAGAAGCTGCTTTCTCACTTATTATAAAAGCCGTCTGAGAGGCTGGGGATTGAAGGCGTGCAGTAATGGTGACATTGAATAGTTTTAACTTTGCATAACAGCGCTGTGAAATGATCAAGCTTTGGGTTGTGCTGATATTTAAAGAGCGGGCTTTGTTAGGAGACACTTGGTGTAGAGGCTTTGGAAACAAAAGCAGGAGAATCAAATGGAAAAGAGGTTTTCTTTGATACTGGAGCACAATGTTTCAAACCTGCAGGTGTAGAAGGGAGCGGGATTGTTGGCTTTCATGCTGTCTGACATGTTGAGTAGATTTCAGATTGCGGATGTCTAATTTTGGAGCTAGAGGAAATCCTTTTTGTTCAAAAGTTTAAAATCTACAATGGTTTTGTTGTGGATAAAGTAGAATTCAGTGTTTCTGTGCTGCACAAACTTGATGAAAAAAGGTATTCTCTGTAATGCAGTGTGACATCTGCTTCTGATGTCTATTTTTGAAAGAAGATAAAAGATTAACATGTCAGGCTTTCGGCATTTGTCTATTCGATGTACACATGATTGTTTTCACATTGGATGTATTTCTCAGCTGAAGGCAACTTCAACAATAACTCAACAAAGTGTGTTGTTGATGACATTTTGATTGGCAAATGTAGCTCTCAGGTGACCAGGAGAGTGTCGTATATAAACAGCTGCAGCTGAACATTTACTGTATGTGTAGGTTGATGTCCCACTGATACCTTAACAACAACTAGTTAACAAAGCTATAAGAAGAGTTATACAAAGTGGAGAGGCCAATGGGTTGTGCTCTGCTCACAACCCTGAGCTGTAATAATATTACTTTTGTCGGTAACGGAGTAGTGTAACGCGCTACTTTTATAATTCAGTAATCACACTACAGTTACTAACATTGCCCCGACACGCGTTACTTCATTACTTACTAAAATCAGTCATAATCATCACACTGACAGACAAGAGGGGTTTCCGCCGCAGGTTTATATGTACGTAATCTGCGCACGCGTCCACATCTCCACGTGCAGTGCTGCATAAACATGGCTGAGTCAGCGATAACTTTCGAGGGGTGGAGGCATGGGCGTCGCCTGGGGTAGGCATCCGGGGCTTTAGCCCCGGACAAATTCTCCCTCAATTATATAATACATTAACCGTACTTTACCTAGCCTAGAGGACGGCAGAATTGTAATTTCCCGTGTTCAGTGAATGCAACAGAGGCAAGACACCACCAGACCAATCAGAGAGTTGCATGGAAATAAACTTGTTTTATTGGCTCTCCTCTGTGACAGTGTTTACACTTTAAACTGTCAGCCGCGGACGCGGAGTGTCTGAAGATGGACAATAGACTTTTTTTAAATAAAAAAGACAGCAATTCTCAAGTGGTGGCTCACACAACAACCCCAGAGCCACCACCTGATCCAGGTGAACAAGGTATGTAAATATCAGTAAACGTACAAGTTATGCGAACATGTAAGCAAAGCATAAATTATAGCTACGTTGACGTTCCTTTGAATCGCGCGGGTAAGCTAAACCGTTAGCGTTACCTGGTGTTTTCAAAGAAAGCTCTCTGGGAAATGTTGACTTACTGTCAGTGTTCGACATGAAGCTAGAAGCTACCTTACAGTACACAGTTGATCCTGTGTCCTGTCAGTTAAAGTGTTTCATAGTTGGCTTAGCTAAGCATCAACCTAGCACTGAAATATATCAATCAATGTTTATTTATATAGCCCAATATCACAAATGTTACATTTGTCTCAGTGGACTTCACAGTTTGTACATAATATCAGTATGACAATACGACACCCTCGGTCCTTAGACCCTCACATCATACAAGGAAAAACTTCCGAAGAAAACCCACAGTTTTAAAGGGAAAAATGGGAGAAACCTCAGGGAGAGCAACAGAGGAGGGATCCCTCTCCCAGGACGGACAGACGTGCAATAGATGCCGTGTGTAAATTGAAAAGATAATACATTTGCAACATTGGTAGTCCAAATGTTTGGAAATGCATGTGTGTATAATAGGAAGATGAATCCACGAGGATATCCATCCAGGACCTATTATCCAGGACCACAGCCACGATTCAAGATCCAGGGCTCGCGATGCAGGACAGAGGAGCGCAGGATCATCCATGACTCCGGATCCTAGCGTATATAGACACCAAAAAGAAAGACATTTGGGGAAGCTTGGTTAATCGGAACATGAGAGTACACAAGTATAGACAGAGAGAAGGAAGAAATAAGATGTCCCCCGACATGGATCTTATGTGACAGTATTTCTGAGAAAAAGTCAGCTGAAATGGTGGCATAGTTGCCACTGTTGTACGTGTCGACAGCATGTTTGAACGTATTTGCAGCAGTACATGTGGCTGTTTGACCACTGATATTACCATAACAACACCTGAATTTAAATGTGCAACCTCTTTTTGTGACAGATTTTTGCATGAAATTATAATTCTTCTGATTGATATTTCCTATTGACAGCTATTTTCTATGTGAACATTATGAGATGGACAGCCAGCTAACAAGCTTTATATACAAATATTTGAGATCAAAGCTAATCCAGTGGGGACCCCCATCTTAAAATGGATATGATCAAAAGATTATCTGCATTGTCGGAGGCCTTTTTTCCTCATTATCATGTCAAATTGTACAGCTTTCCTTAGTTTTGAATGCAGAAAGATGACTATATTAGAGTATTAAGTGAAAATGACTATATTAAAGTGTTAAGTGAATATATTAAGTGAATTACTCAAACTGCATTTGTATAGGAATGATTCTGTCCTATTGGCAGATAACTACTCTTAACAGTGATATCTACAAGAGGTTTCCAATGTAAATGTAACTATTTTCAATTGGTTAGTATTACATTTTGTGACAGTGTGGTGACACTCATTTTAATGAAGACAAATGTGTGTATCTTGAAATTCATTTATTTGACAGAGCTGGAAACTGATTGACTTACATACTTGTTTGTGTTTACCTACACAGTCATCACAGATGAGCCAAACAGAGTAGAGGATGAAGAAATGAGAACAGGAGAAAGGGACACACAAGAAGGAGATACAACAGACAAGAACGACAATGGAGACCACAATGAACAGGAACACCAGAACAGACAAGAGTCAATGCTCTTGTCTGGTAAAGCTTTGAAAATTTACCAGACAAGGTAAAACAAAGCTTTGAAAATTCATCACCATCTACATGCTTGTCATGTTCCAGACACTGCTCTCAACCACTCAGGGCCTGCTTAAATACCTGCAGAAAGAAACAATTGACTTGCTGCAGGCAGTAGATTACAAAACAGCAGTTGAGAACACACTGAAAAGTTACCGAAGTAACGAGAAAGCACATGAGGTCTATGACAAGACCAAGGCCCTGTGCAATGATCTTGATATTCCCGAAACTGTGACACAGAGGAAGAAGCGTAGAAACATGGAAGACTTTGTAGTCAAGGCATCATGTGGAGCAATGTGAAACATTAAACATAAATAAACTGGTGTACAAAACTCACATACCTGCATTTCAATGGACAGCATAAAAGGACACGTGAGCTGGGTTCTGTTGGAGAAATAGCACCATGCTGCTCACATTAGCTTATTAGCTCAGATTAGCTATTGATGATCACGTTGATAAATCAAATAAAACAAATAGTCAATCACACAAAAAACATGTTGCTGTGACTGTGAGCATTAAACAATTAACATTAAACTAAACAAACACAACAGTACGTTATTGTCCTAATAAAATAAAAACATACATTTTGTCCACCGACATAATACAGGCACCTTACCCTCAAGAGATCCTCACGTGCTCTGAGAATCTCCCACAATGCATTGCCGTAACAAAGCTAATGCAGGCACACGTTTGTGACACCAGATGGCGCAATTGTGTATGTGCGTGTGGGGAGTCTTGCAGTAGAAAATTCGACTGTAGCGCCGCCACTGTGGGCTAAGCCCCGAATGTTTCCAGGTCCAGGCGACGCCCCTGGGTGGAGGTATGCCTATTATTTTGAGTTCGTCCGAAGAATAGACAGGAATGTGATGGTGAGGTGCAAACTGTGTCCAGGCCAGAAGCTGTTATCCACTGCTGGAAACACCACGTCAAACCTCAACAAACACCTGCAAAGAACACATGCTAAGGTGAAGCTAATGCACACGCTATTTGTTGTTTGTTTATATCACGTAGTCTGTTCTTCTTCTCTGTCTTCCGGTTGTTGCCTGTTTTGAATGACGAATACACACTACCGCCGCCTGCTGGTAAGGAGAGTTATTGCCACTCACGCATGCGCAGTTCGTACGTGCTCGGCTGAAGTCTTTGCGGTGTGTTCCAGTCTGGTTCCAGTGCAACACATGGCAAGACGCAGGAGAACACGCTGACGCAACAGCGTGAGCAGAGATATACTGCGCAAAATACAGATAGCAGGAGACAGAGGACAGCCATGGTCAGATAGGAAAACATTCAGGATCTGGATCAGTCTTATGCGACAATGGAAACTGAACTAAAGAGAACATTTGAAACTTTAGCAGTCTGCGTGATCTGCCTGTAGGGAGGGGCGGGCCGGCCCTGCGAGTAAAGTAACGAGTAAAGTAACGAATTACTTTATGTAGAGAGTAACGAAGTAGTGTAATATATTACTTTTTTTTAAAGTAATATGTAATATATTACATTTTTTTAGTAACGACCCCATCTGTGAGGAGGCAGGGTGATAGGGTCACACAAACAAAACCATATTGAAAATTGGTATATTGGAAAGTCTGCTTTCAAACATATTACATTTTTAGAAAAGAATGACTTTGAAACCTGAAATAGGAACCAATCTGTAATAAACTCAGTATTTGGATTTTTAAGGAACAAGACTTAAAACAGAACATTTCCAACTTGCACTTCCCACCTGCATAAAGAATATGTGTGTTCCCTTGGATGCATAAGTGGGTCTTTTTTGACCCGGTGAGGTGGTTTTCTTAGAGTATCTTTGTAATTACATTTTTTGTTATCATTTCATATTCCAGCTATTCCTCAAAAAACATGTTTTGGATATCATGCCGTTCAAATTTTAAATTTTAAGAAATTGTAGTTTTCGTATTACTACCCCAAGCTTCCATAAGTGGGTCTTTTTTGACCCGGTGAGGTGGTTTTCTTGAAGTATCTTTGTAATTAAAATGTGTTTTTCATTTCATATTCCAGCTATTCCTCAAAAAACATGTTTTGGATATCATGCCATTCAACATTTTTTTTTTTTTATTAAATGTAAAATATTTCTAGTGTGATCCAAAATATAATACTAAATATTATACAAGCAATTTTTCTTAACCAAAATGACAAAAATGGCATAAAAACACATAATAATACGGCTACATAGTCCTTTGGTGTTTCATTTTCTTCCAGTTTCCTGTATCTGCTACACCTTGGCTGGATGGTCCGTCAAGTTTAAATGGCTTGGCTTCAGTTCCAATACCAAAATAGCACATTGTTGTATACTAGTTTGAAGTTGGACTTATTTTTCATTTAACAAAAAAACGATTTCAAATACTTAATTGATCACCAACCATCCATCATTCATTTATACAGGAATGAGATCCTCTGCAAATCCAGACTCATGTATTCTGACAATCGAATATGTTTTAATTATTTTTAAGAGGTCTTAGAAGAAGGTCTACGTCAAATCACAAGCCATTTCAGATAATTCTCACTCAAGTCAAAGTCTTTCACATCATGTCTGAATTTTCTCTACAGTTTGTCAAGTTCTATTAACACTAAAATCATTAAAACGATTCAAAGCCAGTTCTCAAACATATATGTCCACTCCAAGTCATTACTTAACCCTCCTGTTATATTCGTTTTTTGTAACAGCAATAATATTCGTGGGTCAATCTGACCCAGTGCATGTTTAATTATCCAAAAATGGTCAGAAGCCCCAAAATCCAGATTATTTTTTTTACATAGTTTGTACCTTTTATTACTATCAATGAAATCAATATTTAGTGCAATTGTGTTATTCACCCCTCACAGATCATGATTCCATTAGAATAAGTCACTAGTTTTCCCCAAAAATATACATTCAAACACATTTTTCTATTTTCTTTGTTACATTGGAAAAGCCTTGATATAAAATACATTAGTTTTGCATAACATAACATGTTTTAAATTAATTTTAAAATGTTCCAACTTGTTTTACAATTGGTTGTCGGCGCAGACTGAAAACTCATCTCTTTCGACTCCACTTCGAGCGATAGAACTATTAACAAAGCACTTATATACTAATAAAGGGCTGGCTTATCTAAAGCCAGTTGAGTAGCACTTGAAATGTTTTTGCTCTATGAAGCCTGATGTACTTATATGATTCTGTTTTCTTCAAGTTTGTATTTTGTTGGTCGAACGCACTTATTGTAAGTCGCTTTGGATAAAAGCGTCAGCTAAATGCAATGTAATGTAATGTAATAAATAGAGACGAGACACCTCTTCTGTTCAGGGCATAGGTTCAGGGTCAAATTGACCCGTTCACTTAGAATCAAGCCAAATGAGTCATAAGGATTTGTATTGAAAGTATTTTATTGTAACAGCAATTAAGTGTGTGTGTGTGTGTGTGTGTGTGTGTGTGGTGTGTGGTGTGTGGTGTGTTGTGTGGTGGTTGTGCTGTGTGTGTGTGTGTGTGTGGTGTGTGTGTGTGTGTGTGTGTGTGTGTGTGTGTGTGTGTGTGTGTGTGTGTGTGTGTGTGTGTGTGTGTGGGTGTTGGTGGTGTGTGTGTGTGGGGTGTGTGTGTGTGTGTTGTGTGTGTGTGTGTGTGTGTGTGTGTGTGTGTGTGTGTGTGTGTGTGTGTGTGTGTGGTGTGTGGGTGTGTGTGTGTTGTGTGTGTGTGTGTGTGTGTGTGTTTGGGTTGTGTGTGTGTGTGTGTGTGTGTGTGGGTGTGTGTGTGTGTGTGTGTGTGTGTTGTGTGTGCTGTGTGTGTGTGTGTGTGTGTGTGTGGTGTGTGTGTGTGTGTGTGTGTGTGTGTGTGTGTGTGTGTGTGTGTGTGTGTGGTGTGTGTGGTGTGTGTGGTTGTTGTGTGTGTGTTGTGTTGTGTGTGTGTGTATGTGTGTGTGTGTGTGTGTGTGTGTGTGTGTGTGTGTGTGTGTGTGGTGTGTGCGTGTGTGTGTGGTGTGTCCCCTTTTCGCCTCCCCTTTCCCTGCCGGGGTCCGCTTGCCCCGACATACCCATCTTCTGTGATATAGACATGTAGGGGGGGTTCCAAATGCATAACATGAACCATTTTCATTTGACATGTTTATTACACTAATTAAGGTAAGTAGAAGAAGTTTCATTAAAAAAAAATACTTGAAAGTATTTTTCGTAGATTTTCAAACTTTCACACGGGTCAATTTGACCCTGAATGTAACAGGAGGGAAAGAAGGTCAAAGAAGGTCATAATTCCAAAAGGGCAGTCTAGTCACTAAAATAACACAACAACTGAGACCAAGTTTTTTTGAATGCATGTCACCCTTACTACCAGATCCTTTAAAAGGTATTTGTTTTCAGGTCTCGGAGCTCTTGTCTTTTTCATGGTTTCAGTCTGACTCTACTGCTGTGTGTGTATGAAAGTGTGTTTGTGTGACAAAGAGAAACAATTCAACTTTCTGTTTATAAAGCGAGTGTGTCTATGTTTCTGTGTGTGTGCACTGCTGATGTCTTTGACCCAGGTTAGATGTCATTTCCTCTCTTAAGGCTGGCCAAATCTTTTCACTTCCCACACAAACACACACGCACAAAAGAAAAACAGTTCTCACACTCCCTCGGGTTCACATTCATCCCCTTGAAAACACACAGATGTGCACTGACACACCATAATAGTTTTTTCATCCATATAAACAGTTCTCACACACAATTCCTTTTACTCAACCTTCCGCTCATACATGCACAACTTTATGAGGAGGAAGGGAGGGGACAGGGGTGTTTTTACAAATTACATACAGACTTTTTCATCAAGTATCAGCCCCCCTGCCTCCTCTTCCTCCCCCTCCTTCTTCTTTTTTCTTACTTTGCTGAACTCCTAAGTCAAACATACACTGCATGACAGAGTATGCTACCCACATGGGTTTGAAACTCCAGAAACGCAGGGTTTTTCCTTAGGAATATGTAACTGTTGAGTGTGGAATATGGCTCAGACCCCGACGGTGAAATCTTCTCTGCGGAGATCCTTCAGCGAGCATGTGAAAGATTCCACCAACAAGGCTTGGGATGTCTTCTGGAAGAGCTTGAGGGATAGGCGGCTCTCGGGTGAGTTGGGATATGATGTGCATGTTAATTCTACAGGTGGTTCGAAGCTCGGAAAGGGGACGTTTCTGCAATGTTGAAGAAGCATCATGATTCAATAATTTGATATTTGGAAATGGGAGATGAAGCTTACATCTTCTTTTAAGCGTATAAGTCATTTGAAACTGCAATACCATGATATAGCACAGTTTGTGGTAATGTCAGGCTTTACCCCACTGCCTCTGATGTTACGTCTGCACAAACTTGAAAGCTGAAAAATAGTTAATATGGAAGTTCTGGCTGGTTCAAATCTTAAATTGAGTCCAATAAGGTCCTCATTTTGCATTATGATTGTTTTTAGACATCATCTGAAAAACGTGTTAAACCCTTACTTAACACAACCAATTGTAAGGCAGTTCTCAAGCTGTGATGGCATTCATGCAAAATGAAAAAGAT